CGCAAATGTTTCGGTTGCACAAAAACGCAACACACCCATTTTGAGTCGCAACGGTCGCAACATACCTTTTTTTGGTAGCACAAAGTCTTTAAGTATCTGTTTTGGGTCACGCAAAGTCACGCAAAGTCACGCAAATGTTTTTGTCAAAAACGCAACACACCCATTTTGAGTCTTAACGGTCGCAACATACCTTTTTTTGGGTCGCTCAAAGTCGCGCAAATATTTCGGCCGCACAATGTCGCAACATACCAATTTTGAGTCGCAATGGTCGCAACATACCTTAATTGGGCCGCGCAAAGTAGCAACATATCATCTTTGGGTTGCACAAAAACGCAACACACCCATTTTGAGTCGCAACGGTCGCAACATACCTTTTTTTGGTAGCACAAAGTCTTTAAGTATCTGTTTTGGGTCACGCAAAGTCACGCAAAGTCACGCAAACGTTTTTGTCAAAAACGCAACACACCCATTTTGAGTCTTAACGGTCGCAACATACCTTTTTTTGGGTCGCTCAAAGTCGCGCAAATATTTCGGTCGCGCAAAGTTGCAACATACCCACTTTGAGTCGCAATGGTTGCAACATACCCAATTTGAGTCGCAATGATCGCAAGATACACAATTTGAGTCGCAATGGTTGCACCATAAGTCGCCGCCTCGAACCTGGCCTCCATCAACATTTAAACTGACCAAGTACTACAAAAAATACCATATGATAAATTCAATTGGAGATTAATCCTTGACGCCGCACGAGCAAAGCTAATTCCCGGTAAAAACGAAAAATCTCCTGTAAAGTCAAGCAGTGTACGGTAAACTCGAGCAAAGTCGAACAAAATCGAACAAAGTCGAACATTGTCCGGTATGGTCGGAAAAATTCGGGCAAAGTCGAAAAAAGTCGAACAATGTCCGGTGAAGTCGAACAGAGTCGAAAACGGTCATCGTTCGACTCAATAAGTCGAAATCGGACACCGTTTGAGTGAAAAAGTCGAAAACGGACATCGTTCGACCGTTTCGATCAAATCAATCACATCTTCAGAGATGGATATGCATGGATGGAACTTGGTATGAAAGTTCGCTGCTGTTCTGGTGTAAGTATGATAGGCATTTGACTTTATATTTGACATGAAATCGGTTTCGGCAACTTCGTCTTGACCTGTTTTGTTCATCATCACGGAATGTTCCCAATTGATTCGTTACAAAAAAGTCAACCTATCGTGAGCAAGTTGATTGAATGCTTGTTGAGATTTTTAGCCGGAATGTATGGTTCGCTGTCAGCCGCTATCTCGCTGATTGATAATACTAAAGCAACGTTAAAAAATCCGGGGCTTGAGAAGACTACTACGCTTTTTATATCCAGTTCTGAAAGACCTTTTAACAGGTAAGCTGGATACGCTGGGTAAGACTTGCGAAATCGTCTTCCTCCGTATCCCAATTCTAATTTGATTTATTTGTGATAGTGTTTGCAAAAAAATGAAAATGAGTTTCACCAAAAGAAAGACTTGCGTAGAAAAGCTGGGCAGACGTTTAAATTTGAGATTGATAGTCTCGTTTTCCTTTTTATTCTTGTTGGCAACCACGAATTTTGTTTGTTTACTGTTTCAGCCGTTGTTTTCAAAGCATCTCGGCTGTTGTTTCTTTTGTGAGTTTCTCTCTCAAGCTCCCTGACCTGCCTTTCCTATTGCATCTTGTGTCGCAGTAAGTTTAGACAATGTGTTGATGATGTTATCTAACATATTTTTGCTAACTTCATTTAAGTTATCTTTTGCGCAATCTTCTTTTCGTAAAATGTCGCGATGGTCCTCTGTTTTATGGCATATGAGTGACGGTTTATGACTTGTTTTGCTGCAAGTTGTTCCATTAGTTTGCCACGATTCCATTCTGATATCGCTTTGATGAGAGAACTGCGCGTTAAACGGTTCGATTGTTTCCGATTGCTTCCGAGTTTTCTTGTCGTTGCGCTGTTTTGGCGGCATGTCAAGTTACTTTGGTTGCTTTGGGAAAAGTTTATTTTTTTTCTCTCTAAGTTTACAAAACCTTTAGGGTGTATCTTTCTTCATTTTAAGTTTTAGTTGTTCAAGCTTCAAAACAATTCAAAACATTGACTTGAATCAAAGCTTTTGGTCAAATTTCGAACGAGAGGATCTTTATTTGCAGCTTTAACTGCAGAAGTGCTGTAGATCGATTGTTTAAGTGGAACTCTTTTTCGGAATTTTTATGTCGATAGCTTGAATTACGCAAAATTGGTGCATCTGATTGTGCACTTCAGACAAGGTG